AAGGTATTTGCAATAAAGAAGTAATTGGTCTCGTAAAAGTCTATCATGTGATCTCTGGAGTAATTTCTATCACAAAGGCCATATATTTCAGCTGCCAATGCTGATTCTTTTGTTTCCAACTTGCCCATTCCAATCACCAACAGTTACCAATGCATTCTGACTGAATGCTTGGTCAGTGTCAGACTGCAAAAGTTGGTTGTGGTTGTTGTTAGGTGCTGTTGAGTTGGCTCCAACTCAGTGATCCTGTGTACAACAGAATGACACATTGTCTGGTCCTGTGCCATCCTTATAGTCCTCACAGTAATAGACCATATGATTGTCTGATTCAAAATGGCCAACACCAGTCCATTTCAGCTCACTAATGCCTAGGATATTGATGTCGATGGGCCCTGTTTCATTTTGACAACTTCCAATTTTCCTAGATTCATACACCATACATTCCACATTCTGATTATTAATGGATGTTTGCAGCTGTTTCTTCTCATTTTGAGTCATGCCACATCAGTAAATGAGGTCCCAAAAGCTTTATTCCATGCACATCATTAAGGTCAACTCTACTTTGAGGAGAAATGAGTTCTGGTCATGTAGTGCCTAAGGCATTTGACTGCTAACCAGAAGGCTGGCAGTTCAAATCCACCAGCCACTCCATGGAAGGAAGACTGGCCAATCTACTTCTGTAAAGATTTACTGGCTCAGAAACTCAAAGGGTGTCACTATGAGTTGGAATTGACTCAATGGTAGTTTTTTTTTTTGAAGAAGCAGCTTTTCCCCAGTTGTATTTTGAATGCCTGCAGACCTGAGGGGCTCATCTTCTGGCACTATATCAGATAATGTTTTCCTGCTATTCATAAGGTTTTCAGTGGCCTTTTTTTTTCTTTTCTTTTTTCCTCAGAAGTGGACCTACCTACATCCTTCTTCCTAGTCTGTCTTAGTCTGGAGACTTCCCTGAAACCTGTCCACCATTATTTGAAATACTGGTGGCATAGCACTCAGCAACACAGCAGCACGCAACTCAGCACAGTATGACAAACTGACAGATGAGTAGCAGACCATTAAAAAGGTGAAAAAGACAAGTTAGTGTGGGAGAAGATATTTGCAATACATGTAACAGGCAAAGAATTAGGATTCAAAATGTATAGAAGATATCTTCCAAATTAATAACAAAAGCACAAAACAACCCAGTAGAAAATTCACAATTTAAGCATATAAAAAGCTACTGGAAATTAAAGCCAAAAAGAAGATACTATTTCATACTTATCAGACTGACAAAAATGAAAGAGTCTGACGGTAGGAGGTGTTGGTACGAAACCAATATTAAAGTAAATTGGTACAATAAACTACTTGGCAACATCTGGGGAGGTTGAATATGCTCAAATCCTACAAGCCAGTAATTCCACTCTTAGATATATAACAGAGAAAACAAGAATTGCTCAAATGTAAAAGCACTGTTTAACAGTAAAAAATTGAAAACAAGCTAAACATCTTTCAACAGAAAACTAGAAAAAAATTGTAGTGTTTTCATAAGTGGGATTCCTAAATATCAGAAAAACAATTAACTAGGTTTTCACATATCAACATGGATAAATCTTATAGACATAAGTGAAAAAAGCAAATTGCCAAAGAACTCATTATTGTTGTTGTTTGCCGTCGAGTCGGCCCCGACTCATAGCGACCCCTCCTTGGGTTTCCGAGGCAGTATCACTATGGAAGTAGGATTGCCCAACCTTCCTTCCGAGGAGTGGCTGGTGGGTTTGAACCGCCAGCCTTCTGGTGAGCAGTCAAGTGCCTTAGGCACTATGCTACCAGAGCTCCTAAAGAACTCATTAGTATTTGCTATTTATATAATGTCTCAAAATGCAAAACAATAGCATGTATTTTTTAGAGATACATGAGTATGAAATACATGGGCATGAAAAGCTCCAAATGTACAATAAGATTAATCCCAATAAGATTAACTGTGGGAAGGGAAAATGATCAGTGAGGGAGCCACAGAAGTCTGCAATTGTAATGGTGATATATTTCTTAAGGTGGGTGGTATACAGTTGTTCATTATATTATTCTTTATACCTTTTTGTGTGTGTTAAATGTTACATAATAGGATTTTTTTTAAAAAATACGTAAATGGTGATATAGAGACCATAAATCTAAGTATACAGAACAAATAAAAACGCCAGCTGTCCTAATGTTATCCAAATGATTCTTGTGGCTTGAGATACAGTGACAGCATCTGACATAGATTTAAAAGGTGGTATATCAAAAAACCTTTTTATTTCCCTCCAGAAGCCTTCTCTATCCCCCTTCAGCATACCCCAAACTCATCACAGTGAGAGCATCACCATTGCTTGTCTGAAATGTTAAGAGTCTTCTTGCCTTTTTTCTTTCTTTCTTTTTTAATTGTGCTCTGGGTGCGGATTTACAAAGATTACATTCAACAGTTCATGCACATTGAGTTCATAGCCCCATTACCATCCCCAACCATAAAAAACTCTCCTCCCTGTGATTACCCCCTCCCTGTGCCCTTCTTATCTATGCCTTCCTGTCTGTCCATCTTTCCCTCTGTGTGAATGCTGCCCCTCTGGTGTCTCATGGCTGGTTGATCTAAGGATGCATCTCCCTAGAGTAGGTGGGTACATTACCCTGGGGTAGGTGTTCTGCATGTAGGTCTTTCTACTGTTGGGCTGACAGCCAATCTATGGAAGTGAGTCCATTTCTAGGCCCGAAGGATAACCTGTAGCCATAGTCTTGGGGGTTCTACCAGTCTCTATCAGACCAGTAATTTTTGTCATTTTTGTTTTTGAATTTTGTTCCACATTTTTCCTCCCACTCTAACGAGGATCTACAATTTTGATCCCTTTCTGAGTGGTTTGCACTGGTAGCCAAGCAGCATCTAGTTCTGGTCTCAGGGTCATGAGGCTGAGGTCTTCATGGTCCATCATATCTTTGGACTAATTGTTTCCAGATGACTTCGATTTTCTTCACTCTTCTTTGCCCTGGACGAGAGGAGACCAATAGCTGCATCTTAATTGGCTGCTTGAAAGTTTTTAAGATGCCAGTCACTACTCACCAAAGTATTCCTTGTCTTTTTTCTTTTTTAGTTCATCAGCAAGCTCTGTCATTACTGCTACAAACTATATTCAGAATCTGTCCTCTTTATCACTGTCCCCCAATCCAATCTATGTCTTGCCTGGATGGCTGCAATAGCTTCCCTAACTGTCCCTCCCAGTTGCTATTCTTGCCAGCTCCCCCTTCTCCAGTCTTTCTTTCCACCAGGCAGTTGTAGAGATCTCTTAAAAATGTATGTTATTTCATATCAATGCCTTGAACAAAAATTCTTCAAGGCTGAGATTACAATGGAAAGTCTTCATCAAGCCTACAAGGTCCTATACACCCTGGTCCCTGCCTATCTCCCTGACCAAATCTCCCACTCTGCTCTCCCTAGCTCTGTTCTCTAGCCATGCTGACTCTGCTGTTCCTTGAGAAACCTCCTCCTTGCCTTAGAACTTGTACATTAACCATGCCCCCACTGGCTGGAAGCATTCTCCTAGTTTTTATTTCAGCTTGATTCTTGGACTCAACAAGGCCTCCACTGATCACCTTTACTAAAAGAGATGCCTCTCCCTAACCTGACCAGTCTCTCAAGCTCCTTTTGCTGTTTTATTTTACTTCCTACCTTATGTTAAGGCTGGCAGTTCAAACCCACCAGCCACTCCTCGGAAGGAAGATGGGGCAATCTACTTCCGTAGTGATACTGCCTGGGAAACCCAAGGAGGGGTCACTATGAGTCGGGTCTGATTTGACAGCACATAACAACAACAATCTTATGTTAAGGAGCTCTGGTGGTGCAATGGTTAAGGCATTTGGCTGCTAACCAAAAGATCAGCTGTTCTAACCCAACAACCGCTCCATAGGAGAAAGATGAGGCAGTCAGCTTCTGCAAAGATTTACAGCCTTGGAAACACTATGGGACACTTCTTCTCTGTCCTATAGGGTCACTATGAGTCAGAATCGACTCCATGGCAGTGAGTTTATATGTTGTTTACAAGAGATATACCTTAAGTGAGGAGCACTGGTGGTGCAGTGCTTAAAGCATTCAGCTGCTAACCAAAAGGTCAGCTGGCTGTTGGAACCCACCAGCTGCTCCACCAGAGAAAGATGAGGTGCTATATGTGTATTTGTTTAAACATTTATTTCTGTTTCATTGTAACCTTCCTGGGGTTGGAAGTGTTGTTTTATTCATTGTTGCATTTCCTAGTGCCTAAAACTGTGCTTGCTTGGCACATAGTAGGTGCTCACTTAAAGCTTTTTCAATGAATGAATAAACTGGTTTGGATGGAAGTAGAGATGATAAGCAAATTTAGATGAAAGTCAATTTAGATGATAAGGAAAAATTTAGATGACTCAAAAAATACCTCTTGGTTAAAAACAAAGCTATTCGAATTATAGATTTATGAGAAGACTTTGAAGAAAGCTGTTTCATAAATTATGAAGGTGAAAAAAATAAATGTTTTTTTCAGAAACATATTATTGTAGTTAATTGATTTTTATCATAACATATATGATTAACCAAATTAACAGATTAAATATAAGTAGACATTTGAGTATTTCATCTATATTTTTAAAAGTTTGTATGACCAAGATGTCTAGAAAACTCTTGGCATCTTCTCTTTGGGAAACCTTATACTTAGGTTGCCTGACATGGGAATTTCCTTGTACTGGGGTCTTATACTCTGTCTGTCAATCAATCAGGCCTTCCCAAGCACCTGGGGTCAAATCTAGCCTCGGGTTTAGGGTCATGGGATAGGGAAGACATAGAAAGGAAAGGCAGTCAAACACAATGAGTGTCAGCTGTGTGCCAGGGACTTTGCCTGGGTTTCTCACTCATGTGGGTGCCTTAGGAGCACACACTTCCCATCCTGACTGGTGGCCCAGTCAGGGAGTAGGGAAGGACTAAAGGGAACTCCAGCCTAACCCGAACCCTCCCACTCTTGCCACCCCTACAGATCTCAGAGATCCTCTTTGTGTCCATCTACAGCACTGAGTTCTTCATTAAGCTCTACGTGGACCCCATTGTCTACTGGAAGGATGGCTACAACCTGCTGGATGTGCTCATCATCATCATTATCTCAATCCCCTATGCCCTCCAAAAGATTAAGGGCAAACATTACCCCTACCTCAACATTGCTAATGGCTTGCAGTCCCTGCGCATTCTTAAGCTTATCACCTATAGCCGGGGCATCCGGGTGAGTGCCGTGGGGTCCTGGGGTCCTGTGGTCCCAGAAGTGCAGGCTATAGGGCCCATCTGTCCACCACTCCCTGATAAAATACTAATTTGACTACTGTCTTCCAGTTATTGAATCTTACTGTTTGGCAGGTTGATCTTTACTGATAATACCTTGTTTAATCTTAAGACAGCTGCAAGCTAGGAATCAGCTCCATGGAAGCCCAGCATTTAAATGTCAGTGTCTGACTGCAGAGGCCATTTGAACTTTTCCTCTTTCTCATGTTGCAAAATGACTGATTTTCTTATGGCACATGACCCTTTGAACTGTATGCCCTCTAGTCTCCAGCTTTTGATGACCTTGGCCACTCGCTGCTTTCCCCAAAGAGCTAAAATCTGTTGCTTCTCTTAATGGTAATAGACTTATTACTTCATTCACACAGCTCTGGAAATGGTTCTGCTGAGAAGTTTTGAAAGTTGTTGAAAGTCATGGGATACCCACCCTTTACCTGACTCGTAAGGTTTCAGACCAAACCTCAGGGGTGACCTGTTGCCATCAACTATGCCCTCAGGTACTCATCCTGGACACAGTGGGCATACTTGGCTTTTCACCCAATATGCATGCTTCTACAGGAAGGGGCTGGTGTGGACCTGCTGGTCCAATCAGGATGTGTCAGCTTATTTTGCTGAAAGATTGCCCCCAGTTCAGGCCTTGATGACCTTCTGTCTAGGGTCTGGACCCTAACTTCGGAAGCCTGTTATAGATTGAATTATGTGCCCCCTCATTCAGTTGCCAAGTCATAAATTTGAGTGTTGGAATCCTAACTCCTATACCTGTGAAATGGCCTTGGTGGTACAAATAGTTAAGTGCTACACTACTGGCCAAAAGGTTGGCAGCTGAAACCCACCCAGAGATACCTTGGAAGACAGGCCTGGCAATCTGTTTCCAAAATGTCATAGACTTGAAAACCCTATGTAGTCATTCTACTCTGCACACATGTGTTGCCATGATTTGGAATCAATGGGATGATAACTAGGTAACTAACAACAACAACAACAATATACCTGTGGATGTAATCCTATTTGGGAATAAGGTTTTATTTGTTATGCTAATGATGCCCTATAAGTGGAAGGTATGTCCTAAACCTAATCATTGCCTACTGATATAAGGAGCAGCAGAGACACAGGCAGGCAAGGAGGCATGGGGAAGACAGATACTATCTGAAGACAATGAAAGCAGATGAATCTATAAGCCCTAGGAACTCCAAGGCTTGCTAGGTCCTAGAAACTGAAATAGACTAGACAGACCTCTCCCTACATCTGATGCCCTGAATTCAGACTTGTACCCTCTTGCATTGTAAGAAAGTAAATTTCTGTTCTTTAAAACCACCCATTTGTAATATTTCTGTTACAGCAGCACTAGGAAACTAAGACAGAGCCCCAGTCTTAAGTGGAATAGAGAAGGGAAAAAATATTAGAGCTCTCTCTCTGCCACACAACCACATGCATTCACCCCTTCACACTTTCACGTAGTCACATGCTGTAGGCACTCACATGTGTGAGTGTTCCCTCCTGGTTTGGTTACCTTGGGCCACTCTGATAGAAATATACCACAAATGGGATGGCTTGAACAAATAGGAGTTTATTCCCTTACAGTTCAGGAGGCTAGAAGTCCAAGTTCAAAGTGCCAGGCTCTAGGGGCTATGTGAAAGCCCCTCGACCTTGGGCTTTTGCCTCTTGTTTCCAGCTCACTGAAGCTAGAGGCATTTCTTCACTCTGGCAGCTACTGGCTGCTGAGGCTAAGAAGCCCAAGGTCGACAAGTAGAATGGCACAGTCCTGATGTTACCAAACCACATGCAGGCCATTAATTCAAGTCCATTGAAAGTCCCAAGGTCAGCAGAGCATGGCAGGCTGCTGACCAATGACATGGCTACATACAGGGTTCAAGTGTGCCATAAGCTAGAGACTATTCCCAAGGCTTCTCCTTATATGCAGGAAGAAGACCACATCCCTAAAGCAGCTACTCAGCTGCTCACAGTAGATTCCACCATGGAGTTGATTACCATTCTCATCATGGGGAATACTACATCCAGCTGCCTAGCCACTCAACCACGCCCAGCCAAGTTGACACATAGACTTGACCACCACCCTCCCAAACAATATAGTCAACCCTCCTCCACCCACTGGCCCTGTCTTTATCTCTTCATGGCCAGGTTTCTGGAAAGAGCTATGTGTATTCTCAGTCCTCACTTCCTCATCTTTCATTTATGCTCTGCTCTGTCTTCTTCCCCTCCATTCCAGGGTAACTACCCTCTCCCAGGTGCTAGCAATATCCTTATCACCAAATCCAGTGGCCATTTCCCTTGGCATTCCTTGTAACTGCTTTCTCTTGGTTTTCCTCCAACCTCTTGGGTATGACTTTTCAGATGCCTTTTCTCTGCCTGGCCCATAAATATTGTATTTTCAGGACTATATCCCATCTTCTCTTCTCTTCTCATTCCTTATATTTTCTCTCTGGGTAATCTTTTCCACTCTCCAGGGGTCTTTATTTGCCCAGACCTTTTTCTTTGGTCTTCAGATTCAACTGCCTTCTGGACATTTCATGTGCTTGTCAAAATCAACATGTCTAATCTGGGACACATTATCATTCCCTCACCCCCACCCCCAAGTCCCCAAACCCTGGCTCCTCTTCCTATATTTCATCATTTGGTGAAGGGTGTTACCCTCATTCAGTTGCCAAGTCATAAATTTGAGTGTGTTTTGGCTCCAGTTTCTCAGAATTCTACTGCATAGCTTCCTAAATATTTATGAACTTGTCCACTGCTCTTCAGTCCCATAGCCATCATCTTTTCTCTGCCACTTGGATCCTGCAAATGGCTTCCCACACTACTGAAAGCCTTTACAGCAGAAATGCCATAGCAGTTGTGGTGGGGGGCAAATTTCTAAATTGCACATCATATCATGACACCCTTCATTTCAAACCCAACAGTGGCTCCTCCTTGTTCATAGGCTAGAGAAAGACATAATATTTTGTCTTAGAAAGAGAGAGGGTAGTGTTTGAGGCACTGAATGCAGGAATTGATGTCAGGTTGAGAGGAGAGTAAAGCAGATGGTCAGGAAAGAAGACTGAGGTCCCGGGGAGGTCCATGCCAGGTGGTGGGTATCCTAGAGTGAGGAAGTAATCAGATAGTAGAAAGTGTAGTCTGGTTATTCTGGGTAGTGGGCATCAAGGGAACAGGGGTGGGAAGTGGTACAAGGGCCAATAGAGATTAGGAAGTCAAGGGACAAAGGGGAGGGTAGATCATTAATAAGGATGCTGGAGTCCTCAGAGGACAGCAGGATCAAGTGGAAAAGAGGAAGGCAGATCCTGGTGGCAAAGTCCTTAAGACAAGTTATTGTTAGGTGCCGCAGAGTCAGCTCTGACTCATAGCAACCCCATGTACCACAGAACAAAACACTGCCTGGTCATGTGCCATTCTCACAATCCTTGCTATACCTGAGCCCATCACTGCAACCACTGTGCCAATCCATCTTGTTGAGTGCCTTCCCTTTTCTCACTGACCTTCTACTTTACCAAGCATGATATAATCCAGGGAATCGTCCCTTCTAACAACATGACCAAAATAGGTGAGACAAAGTCTGGCCATTCTTGCTTTCAAGGTGCATTCTGGCTGCACTTTTTCCAGGATAGATTTATTCATTCTTCTGGAAGTCCATGGTATTTTCACTATTTTCCAGCACCACAATTCATCAACGCTTCTTTGGTCTTCCTTATTCATTGTCCAGCTTTCACATGCATATGAGGTGATTGAAAATACCATGGCTTGGGTTAGGTGCAGTTTAGACTTCAAAGTGACACCTTTGCTTTTCAACATGTTAAAGAGGTCTTTTCCAGAAAATTTGTCCAGTGCAATATGACATCTGATTTCTTGACTGCTGCTTCCATGAGTATTGTATGGATCCAACTCAAATGAAATCTTTGACAACTTCAATCTTTTCTCCATTTATCGTGATGCTGCTTATTGGTCCAGTTGTGAGGATTTTAATTTTCTCTATGTTGAGGTGTAATCCATACTGCAGATTATAGTCTTTAATTTTCATCAGTAAGTGCTTCAAGTCATCTTCACTTTCAGCAAGCAAGGTTGCATAGTCTGCATATCACAGGTGGTTAATGAGTCTTTCTCCAATCCTGATGCATGTCCTTCTTCATATAGTCCAGTGTCTTGTATTATTTGCTCAGCATACAGATTGAATAAGTATGGTAAAAGGATACAACCTTGACACACACCACCCTTCCTGATTTTAATATCAGCAATATCCCCTTGTTCTGGTCAAATGACAGCCTCCTGGTCTATGTATGGTTCCTCATGAGCACAATTAAGTATTCTGGAATTCTCATTCTTCACAATGTTATACATAATTTGTTATGATCCACACAATCAAATGCCTTTGCATAGTCAATAAAACACTGGTAAACATCTTTCTGGTATTCTTTGCTTCCAGCCAACATCCATCTTACATCAGCAATGATATCCCTTGTTCTGTATCCTCTTCTGAATCCAACTTGAATTTCTAGAAGTTCCCTGTCAATATACTGCTGCAACCAGTTTTGAATTATCGTCAGCAAAATTTTACTTGCATGTGATATTAACTATATTGTTGAATAATTTCCACATTCTGTTGGATCACCTTTCTTTGGAATGAGTACAAATATGTATCTCTTCCAGTCAGTTGGCCAGGTACCTGTCTTCCAAATTATTTGGCATAGATTAGTAAGTGTCTTCAGTGCGGCATCTGTTTGTTGAAACATCTCAATGTGTATTCTGTCAATTCCTGGAGCCTTATTTTTTGCCAATTCCTTCAGTTCAGCTTGGACTTCTCCCTTCATTACCATTGGTTGTTGATCATATGTCACCTCCTGAAATAGTTGAACATTGATCAATCCTTTTTGATACAGTGACTCTGTGTATTCCTTCCATCTTCTTTGGATACTTCCCACATCATTCAATATCTTGCCCATA